GTGGAGCTTCCCGTGTCACGGTACAGTCTGACCGTGTCACGAGATATTTTTTTAGGGTTTTTATCATTTTAGGGTTCCGTGTGCCCCCTCAGCACATTTTCCCTATAAATACCCCCTCATTTCTGATGAACGGGGCACCGAGTAATTCTATTATTTTATTTTCTCTCTTCTATGCTTTATCCTAAACACTAGCCTACCTCTTTCACTTCAAAATTCCTTCTTCAAGCACTCAAAGGAGTCCATATTTTACTGAGGTTCTGTCCTTAAGCCAAGGCATGAAAGGTAAAACTGTTTGAGGGTTTGGCCCCAAAATCAACTTTATTTTATTTAATTTAATTTAGTTATTATTTTATTATTTCCTTGAAGTTACTAACTCGTTTATTATTTTGTAGTTGCAAACAAACAGAATCAAAGTAAGGATCATGCTCCTTTTATTTTTATTATTTTTCTAACGATTTTATGTTGTTGGAATTGTGGTTGATTTGGTTTTAATATTAATGTTGTTTTATTATATTTATTGATCACCATATTGCATGTTTAAAGGGAATATGTAATTGAAAATCACGACTAATAAGATAATTTGGACAACCGGTTTAGGATCCTTTTAATCTTATTATTAATTGAAGTGATCACAATATTTTAGAATTATGTGTGCATTAATATTAAACCAATTTAGTTAAATAATAGTTTGGAGCGAATTGAATTATTGTTTGTATGCCTTTGAGATCACATGAATGCTTTTCAATATAAGAATCGAATAGAGGCCAATACGGGCGAATGTGACTCCATGACTCACTTCGTACCATCATCCCCGATCCTCCTTTCGTGGTTCCGAACCATATGGAGTTAGTAATCTCATGGATTATGAATGGGGTGTAACCTTCACGGGTCAATCGTTGTTGCCTATCGTTGTCCCTTATCGTGGTTGCCTTTTTATGATCCGTGAATGGTTTACAAGTTCCTTAAAAACTTGTTGGCGGCTCCCTACTTTCCTTGTCCCTAATCGTATTATGTCAATTCCCACTTTCTATGAGTGGCAAGCATATTCACACATGCTTTTTACGTAGGCGCACTTCGAATGACGCCTACAGAAAGTAGTAATGAAGTGTGTGATATCCACAAGTCAATAACCACCTATCCTTAAAATAAGGGCACGCTTCTGCATTAGAAACATAGATTACACCAAACAATCCACGTACAACCCAGCCAAAATAACGACACCATGAAGTCTAAAATATGTTGTATCAGAAAAAATTGAAATAGTCGTTCACAGTCAATAAAATGTCAAACTTATTCGTTATTTGTTAATATTAAAAGTATTAGAAATAAATTCGATTTTTTTTTTGTTATTGAATTACAGATTCGTTGTGAAAAAGTGGAATTTATGCTTTATTATAGACAATAAATTACGTGAAATTAAAAGTCAATAATTGATCTTATTGTAAATCTTAATTAATCTAATTTTATATCAATTAATGAATTTAACTAACTACTACTGACATTAATCATTTGCTAAATTATATTGTTTAAACAATTCAGGATTAATAACACTTTGTGTCCCAATATAGTTTATATAACTTTGGAGCATAATCAATTCAATTAATTTAATAGAAATTAAGTGATAAGATACACAAACAAGAAAGAAAAGTTAATTCACATGATCACACGTATACTCTCTTAAACCGGTCCTAAATGTCAAAGATTAAGTAAATCAAGTCTAAGTTTTGGACCAATCACATGAGTTTTTGTTGTACTTAATCCTTAGTTGAAGGAAGATAAGAAGGATATATAATAGAAGATGGTACTCGGGATTACAATTAATAGGAGGCATGAGAATATCCATATGTATAGAAGAAATGAACGGTAGAGATTTTAGCTTTAAGGAAAATAAAGTAAGAATAATGGAAAAGACCCACATGCCCAAATCCACCACATTTCCCATTATATAATTATAATAACACAAAGTTATAATTATAACAATCTAACCCAAGATTAAGACTTAACAAATTGTCTCATCACCCCTCAAACAAAGAAGGCTAGCTACCTAGAAGAAGCAAAAAAGGCAATTCTTTAATTTTATTGAATTTTTTATTAACTTTGTTTAATTTTATTATTCCAGAGTAATGAAATAAGAATTTGCTATACAAGTTATTACTCCCTCCGTCCCATAATTACAGGCAAATATACCATTTTGGGTGTCCCAAAATGTTTGATCTATTAGGGGAATCTTTCTATTTTCGGACTATATTTTTGGACAATAATACCCTCATCTTAGTTTTTAATTGACGAATTTATCCTCATTTTAAGCTGAATTGGAATCTTATTTTTGGGGATAAGTGTACTTTTAATACCCTACAATTAATTCTTTGTACTCCCACTTACTCTCATTTTCTACTCCTTTTCTCTGAATATTTTCTCTCTCCATTTATTTTCTGGGTTCTTCCACTACACACTCTCTCTCTTTTGTTCTTCATCCTCCGCCACTCTCTCTCCTTAATTCTCATGGCTTGTTGCTTCAAATCTCACGAAATTTACATGATTCCCTCTTAAATAGTCCCCTCTACAAAAGCCCCATGATAATTTTGCGCAAATTGATTCGGTTTGTCGTAGATCTGAAATTGTCTGAGTCACTGTTCATTTTCTCTCTCCTAAAAAACCATCAAATCTAGGGTTAGCTTGCTCAATAGTTACTGACGACTCATTCCCTCGATTAGGTGAGGTGTTAATTTTCGACAATCTTAAGCAATTTCTTTGCAGAAATTGAGTTTCTTTCTCTAATTTATTTTCGACAACATGTCTAAGAATTCGAGTTCCAATCTTCCAAAACAAAATCCTCCAGTTTGGGATGAAAGGTTTGGCCCAGATCCTGATATTTTGTTTCGTACCGACAGTGATGAGGATAATGGGGAAAGCGTGCCTTACGAGTGTTCAGATCGTGACTGTCATTGGCCGACTGACTGCAATGGCGACCATTCTTACAGCTTAGAGGTTTGGAGGAGTCGCTTTGGTCGTTACCTCTACACTACAGAACATTTTCAGCAGTATGGGTGGTCTGTTGGTGACGGTGATGGTAAAACCCTAAGTGGTGAGGAGGTGACATCAAAAATGGCTGGAAAAAAAAATGATGATGAAGTTAACTCCTCCCCTGTTGCTGAAAAAAGTCCCGTGATGTTGAAAAAAAGTCCCCTGTTGTTGACAAAAACACTGTGTCACCTTCATCTCCAGTTCCTAATTACACATTAGGCAATGTGAGTAACTCCAGCAACACTAATTCACCTTCGGACGACGGTAATGTTGGCGGCTACGTAAGTGATTCATTTGAATCACATAGCTAAGTATTCTTCCTCCCTATAAATCTCTGTTTTAACGCATTTTATATTAGGTTAGTTGTTGATGGTGTATGCCAGCAAGTGTGATCTCTTGCTGGCCAGGGGAATTATGTGTGCTTGATGAGGAGAATTGTTATTAGGAGCATGTTAGGACCGAAATTTTATTTATTTTGTGAAACATGTTTAACTATGCTTTCATTTGATATGATTAGGAATTACCTATGATTTGAAGTTGGTGACTGATTATGCATGATTTGATTGGAATATGAGGGTCATATGTTTTCATTTGATATGATTAGGAGGATGCTTTGATTATGATGATTAGGTGCATATGGTATGATTTATCAGAGAATGTTATGATGCTACTAGTGAGTTGGATATGATTTTTATTCTTGGTATGATCTGAGTTGGATATGATTTGAAGTTGGTGACTGATTTCTATGCTTGCCATTTGTGCTTAAAAAAGTCAATGATGATAACCTGAATGGTGAGACCCCAAATCCCCTTGTGTTTAAGAGTGTTTGCCATTGTTCTTGTCCACTTAAACTAAGTTTTGGTGTTGACTGTTTGCATGCTCAATCAGGTAGAGCTTTTAAACACTTGGGATTTGGGTCAATGATTGATGGGGCAAACTGAGGCTAATTTTAAGTTTATATTATCTTCCATTTGCTTTAATTTTTGTCCCTTTATTTTTTTTTCTGTCCACAATGATGAAAGTCCACAATGTGAGAGTATCATCCCATAAGTCCACAACACTTTGCCATTAGATTCCACCTATGTTTGTTTCATATAGGTTGTTTGAGACTTTTAGGCAATTGTTGTTGATTGTGGGATGATGTTCAATGATGAATGGGGACATCTGAGACCAAAACCAAAAAGATAAACATGATTTCTATCCCATAAGTTTGAAATCCATTAATTCATTGATATATTATGTGCCATTTGCATACAAAAAGTAATGATTTCAAACTAACTTCAAATCTAACAAAGATAAACATAAACAGAAGGTATCAATTGCCTACAAAAAGGGATGATGACACTTTATGATACCATTTGCATAAACTACTGAGTACTTTAGAAATTATGCATGATCTACTTACTTTGATGATGGTTTTGAACTTGATGCTTCATGATCATTTGCACACACCTTTGTGCCATATTTGGTGGGAGTTGTTGATGTGAACTCATTAATTTGTTCATGTACCATTGCATTCCAAAAAGGGTCATTGTCTTCATACTCATCTCTATCTTCATTGAATTGTGATGCCATGTAAACATAGTCTTCTGTTTCTTGTGATTCCCACAAAGCATGATTTGTTGTTTGATCATTCTCTGTTTGTTCATTGTTTGTTGTACTTCCATAAATTGGCCTTTGTTCTGTGGCTTGCTGCTGCACATGTGGGTCAAACTCATTGACAAACTCTGGTGACCCCCCTTCCTCTTCAACTGGTGGTAAGGACCCATAAACAGCTTCCCATGCATCTAATACATCCCACTTAGGTGCCTCTAGTGTATCTGGGAGTGTTCCTTCTCTCCACAATTTTTCCTTGTTCATATGTGGAACATCATAAGCATTTGAGCCACCTACTTTTAGCATTGCATTCATTACTCCTTGTAGGGTGATCCACACAAAATATAAAGCTTGTGGATCTAACTCATAAAAAGCTTCATTTACATGCTTAAGTAAGTCATCAACATCTGAGGCCATTTTTTTTCTTGAAGTGATTGAATGCTCTTAAAAAAACCCAAATCAAGTATGTTTAAATCAGGACTATTTGGAGGTTGTTGAACCAAAATGAATGAGAAGCCATCCTGCATATGTACTTCTTGCCACTCAGGGTCATCTTGAGTTATGTGTGCCCTAGCATTATCTTGTTGAATGTATATTGTCCTTGAGGTGCCATCATTTGGCCATTTTGCCTTAATTGCTGGGACTATTTGATCTATGAGCATTCTTCTTGTGACTTCTTTAGTGACTTTTGCAATGGGCTTGCTTATCAATGTCCCCTTTTCCCTATTTTTTGACTTTCTTTTGGCTGCCTCTTGTGTTGTGAATGGGAAGATTCCAATCCTCCCATCAAAATAACATTCCCCCTGATCATTGTACCTTGGTTTTGCACATGCTGCTGTGAACTTGAATTTTGGCCCATGACTGTTTGCTGACCCTGTTCTGTGTACACCCTTTTCATTCTTGGCAATGTAGTACCTGTGACTTTTTTTGGTTAGTTTGAACCATTTTTCATCAATATGAACAAAGTCATACATTGGGAAGTATCTTGACATTTTCCATGGTGATGAACCCATTATGAGACCAAGTATCCACTTCAGTCTAGCCAACTTGTTAGCCTCAGTCAGTGGGGGCTTAATTGCATTTGTATGTGCTTTTATATCTCCCCTCTTGATCATTCTGCCAACTGTTGATTTTGAGATATTGAGATTTGTTGCTACATCTCTAATGCATGACCTTTCACCAATCCCAAGTTTTGTAATGTCCCCTACTGGAACAGTGATTCTTTTCCTTCCAGCCAAGTGATAATTTGTGCATGGTTTGTATTTTCCCAGTGCTTGTTTCTGTTTCTTTGCTTCATTCCAAACTGAGCTGACACATTTTCGTTTGAGGTTGAAATGTTCCATGGCTGCTTTTATTGCCCCTCTTTTAATATAATCTCCCTCATGATATTTTAACAGGAAAATGAGGACATTAAATTTGTCTTCACTGTTGAGCCTGACTTGTTGATGCCTGTGATGAGTTGGTCCTTGGTTTGTTGCCTGAGCATTTGTTCTTTGTTCTTCTTGATTGGTCGCTGAATCATTGATATGTTGATTTCCTGAAGCATTATGGACATTTGCCCCTGCTTCTTCAACTGGCAGCTGATTTAAATCAAAAGAATGTCCCCTAATATTGACATCGTTTTCACCTCCATGTATTTCATCATCACTTGGCGACCAATCTTCATTCAAGTCCATTTCTGAGGCCTTCAACAGCAGGCAATGATGCACAAAAGTGAATTCAAAAATTGCAATTAATTTGATGTAATTACTCCTTAAGTTGGATACTGAAACATTCCTTCCTTTATTTTTCTGGCAATGCAGTGGTATTTATATGTATATGTAAGGTCATTGTGTCAGAAATTTAAACCACCTTTGAAAAGGTGAAAATATGGCGCCATATTTGTGGCTTAAAAGTTTGGCGGTTTTTTTCCCAGAAAACTTGTGAGATTTGTGGAGCAATCCGTGTGCTTCCAATACTGAAATGCTATTGGACCACACTCTTTCATTTTGGAATGCTATTGGTTAACAATAAATGTAAGGATCAATATCCATTGGGTAAAAAAATGACAGCTATTTTTATGATATTTTAAAGTTTTTTAAACAATGCATTAAAACAACCCCACATGGGCATTGTACTTCCAATCATTAATGTACAAAGAATCTTCTCATTTTCTTAAAAACTGTGCTTTTAAGAGTTATTTGCCTCTAATTATGGGACGGAGGGAGTAATAAAGTTGACACATATATGCAATAAAGTTAAATTCTAAACTATCAAAAAAGTGTCACGTGTTGACGCATAAATCAATCAAGTTTAGATTCAAAGTAATAATCATATGATTAACGTAATGAATTAGTATAGATGATTCCTAAATGAAGTACCATGTAACTATTAAAATTATAAGTGAATCTAGAAAATAGTACATAATTACTTTATGAATGTCCAATACATAGTTCAAGTTATTAGTAGAATCTTGAAAAAAATGTGTTTATATAAAATACTAATATTAAATATTTGATTACTAAATGAATTACCATGTAACTATTCAAATTATATCTCAATCTACTGTACATACATTTATCTCCAGTCACTTAATTTTAAATAAGAGTTTTTTTTAGATATCTTAATAATAAATTTTAAAGTCAATCAAGTTTATCTTTATACTAATAAAGGTACTTATAAAATACTAATAAATATACAAATAAAATACTAATAAATATACTATGAAATTGATTAAATTATATTCTGTGACGTGTTATGAGGAATGGCTGCCACTATATAATACCTGGCTCTACAATTGTCTTAATCAAAAAGTTAGTTCAAACCCTAACAAGAGGAAACCCACTAAACCCCAAGTTATGGCAAGCAATCTTAACCCTCAAAACTCCAATGCCGGTGATCGAGACGATAAACGTCAAGGTGGCCGTCGTCGACCTGGTATCGCTCAACCCCCACAACCCCCAAGACCCAAAAAGGAATTATCTAAAATGAAAACCCAACGTGCTTTGTTAGCAATGTTACTTGAGAGTATACCATTTCGTATTGAAAATCCACCTCCTGTTTCTTCAGTGGGTGCTAGAACAAGTGGCGCCTCTTCTAGGGTGCCCACGATGATGGATATGATAGATCCATCTCGTTTCCCTAAGAAGACTCACCTCGAAAATGGACTAGTCTCACCTGCTGTGGTGGCGCTCCAGCCCAAACCTGAATTCACCGTCGAGGTTCTAAACAACCTTACTGTTTCTATTGTGGGGGATAACATTTCTCATGCACCTAATCCTCCTTCAATTCCAGTTGTGAAGGAGGATGAAGAGCTACCAGATGTGGATCTCAAGTCTCAACGAGACCATACCTACTGTATATGGTCTAGCGGTGGTGTTATCTATCGTTGTGAGGAGCTACACACTTGGTGATGTTGGTGTGATGTACAACATCTAAACTGACGAGACTTTTAATGCTATTTACAAGGATTACACATCTCGCATTGACGTGGAGCCTGAAAAAATCAAGCTGTACAAAGGACTTAGCTACATTCCATCAACTACCTATACCGAATCAGTGGGTGTTGAAACTGGTTGTGTGCTCTATGTCTAGGGAATGGTAACCCCTTCTTTCATTTTCTTCTTATTTGTTTAGTTGATCAACATAAATTTAATGGTTCTTACTAGAATTTTAATTGAATATCTTAATTAATAGTTGAAGTTTGTATCTGTTTATGTATGATATGCAACATTTGGATGTCTTTCGCAATATTAATTTTGTAGACGTATGTATGTTTTTGTGTTGTTGCTAAATTGTCATGGTTGTTGCAAGATTAATTTTGTATGAATTGTTATTATATTATGAGTAGCATTTTATATGAATTATATATTAATGGCTAGCATTTTATATTAATGGTTAGCATTGTATTATGATTTGCAAATTGATCAACAATTGTGTATTAACGTTTGCAATTGTTGATGAGTACATGGTTTTGCAAATTGATCAAGAATTATATATTAATGGTTGCAATTGTTGATGAGTACATGGTTGTGCAAAACTTTTGTTTGCAACTATTATGTACAGTAGCAAGTGCATGCATGTAGTATGAAGTTTAACTTATTAGAATTAGTATAGATTACATAATTGTATCTTGAAGTTGTAAGAATTATAATTAGACGTAGATGTGACACAAGACATCATATGTATTTTTTAGTAATTATTAACGGAATGAGTTTGGCATGTGTATGCAGGTTGGGGTGGTGAACACCTAAACTAGGACTAAGAGGTTCTACCTAAAGAACACCGGACATTGCAACAAAAAGAAGCTCCGAGTTTAAGGAAAGTTGGACTCCCCTCTTCGCCGCCTGTTCCACATTTGGGGGGACAAGTCTGATGTTGATCCGATTGATTTGGTGTTCTACCATGAGGACAAGATGGTGTGCACTCTTAAAACTATTAGGGAAGTTGGAATAAAAAATGGAGACAAGGTGGTTGTTGCTCCACACCCACTCGAGTGATGTTCCAAAGAGTTGGTAGAGATGTGATTTTGGATGGAATTATGTGGAGTAACACAAGCAACAATTGGTTAAGCATTTCCATATCCACCACCACTTCTTTTGTTTGTAATATATTAATCTAATCTTAGGATGGTTATCCATCTAGTAGTTGTGGTTGGACAATTTGCACATCTAGTTATGTATTATGGTTAGCTTTTGCACGCAAACTTTTAGTTGTCTTTGGGATTACTTGAATCATTGGTATGTTGATGAAATCTTTTGTCATGTGTTGATGATGGCCTTAACATGTTATTGTCAAACTTATATGAATGGATTATGTTTGCATTTTGTCTTAGAAAAATAAAAGCTTAAAATACAAAAATAAAATCCGAGTATACACAAAATAAAGATATATAATGTTGTTCGATTAAAGTAACATTGTCTATTATTGTAAATTCGTAATTGGTTAGGTTCTTGTCATATTTAGTTTTTTACAGAATGTTAATCAATATTTGATTAACTAGACTAGTAAAATTAAAAGTAAAAAAAATTGATTAATTATTGAACTACCAAAAACAACCTTATTTAGTGCCAAAAAAAAACAAATACCAAAAAAAAAAAAAAAATAAAAGAATTTTAAAATAGATTGGGAGGACCATGGATAATGCACTATTTTTTTTTACCCTAATATAATACACTAATTTAATATGAAAGTTGTACATGTGCAAAACAAATACAGGTAGCATAACCCACCCGCATAGTTACATAAAAACTTGAGTTGTCTTTCTTAGTGTACTATAATCTTAATGTATTATAATTAATTAATTTTAACAAAAAATGACATCTTATTAATTTAACAAGATAATCTTAATTGTATTATAATTAATTATTTTTATTACACAACTCGGTTTATTAATACTTTGGTTTCTTTTTTATTTTTTTATTACTTTGGCTTAATCCAATCAATTTTATTTTTTTAATTTTTTAATATACAAGTAAGGTAACATATTGACGCCACCAGTATATATATTAGATACATTATTGACAATCATGAAATTCATTAAGTAATTCTATTTTTATAAAAATTGAAATTTATATATTAGTAAAATAATTATGGTCAGACCTAATTTATAATAGTCTTAAAGTTATTGTGATGTGAAAAATTATGGTCAAAGCTAATTTATAATAGTCTTAAAGTTATTGTGATGTGAAAAGTTATAGTACGATAGAGTAAACCTCGGCCCCCTTGAGTCTTAATTCCTGGCTTTGCCCACACTTAAAGGGTAAATAGTTACTAACTATCTAGGGTTTATGGTATGGTGATAGGGTTGGGAGGGTATTAGGGTTTGGAGGGTATTAGGGTTGATATTCAATCCAATTCAATCCAAACCGGAATTAATTATTTCCCTTTTGCAAACCGAAATTTGTTCCCTTCTCTTGCAACCGATTCAATGACAATTAAAAATAAATCCAAACCGAGTGTGTGAGGAGGGAGGGGTTAAGGTATGGAGGGTTTCTAGGGTTCAGTGTGGGAGGGGCATGTAGGGGTTAGGGTTTGAAGGGTTTTAATTTTAATAGGTTGCAATACAATATTTGTCTTGTAGTAAGAAATCAATATTCAAAAGTGTAGGATCTTTTTTTGTCATCCCAAAATCACTTACAATCACATTAAAAACCAAACTTAATCAAAACCATATCTTCTTGACAATGACAATTCAATAGCTTAGTTACAAAATAATAAAAAAAAAAAAACCAACATCCCATAACATGTTGATTGAAGGAGTTATAGGGGGAAGATGTTATAATAAAATAAAAAATCGTACAATTTGGTGTGTTGAACTTAGGTATGTGACTACACGGACTACACTGCACAAAGTGTACTTCCTAGGTACCAAGGTTTTGACCCTGTGAACTTACCTCTTATTATAAGACTCCAAACTAACTAACTACTACCCTCATTCCTCTGTTCTTCCCCAAAACTGCTACCCATATACCAGCCATGGAACCAGCGCATGAAGTTCCTCACCCACCTGGCTTCTTCGCTGCATTGGTGACTCAAAATGCCAAAAACTGTTTCATGTACAACACAAACCGTGAGCAAGAAATGAATTTCAATGAACTTGCCTTTTTTATTAGCTAAAATGGATAAATGACAGAGGATGTCGTTGAGTACGATACTCTCCGCAAAATAGTCGCCAAAACCTATAGAAGAGCAACAC